TGATAATAAAACAAATATATTTATGAAACAATGGATTATACAGATACAATTCATGTCTGGTGCTGCAGTATTAGGTAAGATATATTTTACAATTACTAGGAATGGACCATTAAAATGAACAGATAACCGATTTAGCAAAATCTGGATGACAAATGTATTAAATTCAAAGCAGAAGAAGGTTCCTTTACAGCATCAGAGGCACCAGCCACTCAAACGGCGAGAACTTGATATCTTGTCTTTTATTATTATTATTTTTGTATTTGTTTGACATTTTTGCTGCACTGTTAGGAGCTAGTGACAAGCATTTTGCTGCACCCGCTATAACATCTGCTAAACTGTGTACGCAACCAATAAACTTTTATTAAGAGTTTTCTTCATTTTAAATCAAGATTAATATAACTAGAAACTCAAATAGACTATTTGTATGCTTTGCGGGGTCACCAGTCATACAAATATTGTTAATTTGTATGAGGATGTATCAACAGGAATGTAGCTGCGAGCCAAGATATTTTGGTATACAATCATAGCAACTTTCGAACTATTTTGCAACAGCTTTTTGTCCTAAGTAAGTGAAGTAGTAAAACATAAAGTGGTCCTGAACTTATCAAATAAGGGTTGCTTTGTTTGGCTCGAGCTGGCTGTTTATAGCTCCCATTACTACTCAGCTTAACCTCGATACAGCAAAATCTCTGTAAAACACTTGCTACAGATATTGCAAATTTGACACATCATAGCTTTGTGTTAATTCGCTCAATGTGTCTTTACTATAACAACGATATAGCCGAGCGGAAATTACACATAGGCCTACTTAACATTTTACACATACTTTATATTTTATGAAATAAAGAAACAGAAATACACATGAGCAATTCCACGGTAACAGAGTGACAGACTCAGATTTTTCACATCAAACAAAAAGCAAATAGCTTTCAACACATTTACTTGAACAGTGCAGATGCAAAAAAACAGCAAACTGTCATTCTGTTAGCAAACTTTACATCTGCACTGTTCTTCCAGTAAATTTGTAAAATGTTCAGTAGAAATTGTTAAAAGTAGTCCTTGTATGGCTTGTTAACTTTGCAATCATTGGTTTTTGTTTGACATACATTTTAAAAGTGAGTCTCAGTGTTACTCTGTTACTGTGTAATTGTAAATAAAATAAATAAATTAAATTAAAACTAATATTTACGTGCATATCTGAGCCCCAAAATGCACCTAGTATTGTAGGCCTAAACTAGAACTTACATACAATCACCTTGTGGCCATCTGTCCACTGGTAGACACCATTATGCTAGTTGCGGATGTCAACAGTCTACAACATAATATAGTAATATCTCAAAAGCATATTTGAAATCTAATACTTGTGATATTGAAGCAACAGCACCAGGCCGATATGTTGCATAAGATGATTCCAGAACAACAGGCCTCTATAGCTAAATGCATCAACAACAAAATCCTCCTCTGCAAATGTCAAGGTAGGCCTACATAGTGTGGTGGTGTGGCTTGCTAAGAGGCAGTTGCCCTTAGGTGTACATCAGGGATCAGCTTACCCTAACACAGATCATACTTTAACTAGTTTGCAAGTAAAACGCAAAACTGGCCTGAGAGCATTGTGGGTGCTTTTCTTTATACCCTGGTTGGGGAAGGGCTTGGCCCTCATCAGGGCACATCTCTACTGTAAAACAAAAAGGGGGGAAATGATTTGCTGTATCGGAATGCCATCAATTTGCTATAATGAGGGACTTGAAGATAGTTTTGACCAGTTTTGCCAGTCAAAATGAAAAGGGACATGGGGCTTTGTGCACTTTCACACACTTTCCTATAATGAAAAGTTAAACTGAATTAATATTGGCATGCCATACCACCTCTCAACACACCTCAAGGTGTTCCTTACATTTTTTTGCAGAAGAGATACAACAGACGTTAGAGGATGTCCTAACTAGAAGTATATTCAAAATAAGTGGTCATTTGTATGCTAGTTGTTTTTCTCTTATTTCTAAGTTGGGGAAAAATAATAATACAGTGTAATAGTTAGTCATTGCTACACTGTACATAAGCAACCCTACCTTACCCTAAGTACAATGCACAGAGTAGCAAACAAGTTAATACAAAAAATATATATTACATTACACTGCATTTACAGAAATGATTACACAGCAATAGGGACTGAACAGGCAAGTGAACAGGCATTGTTGCCCCAGACATTTGTGATCCTGCAAGTTGTGGAATCAATCCAAGAGAAATCTGGGAATATAACTTTGGCAGTGTCCTAAACCAATGCAAATATAAAGAATACGCTTAACTTTTAAAACAACAAAGTACACTAACTGTGTAATAACAATATTAGAATGGTCCAAAATATAGGGCTGCTGTCAACTACAGCTACCTTTGTCGCAACAATGTAGCAAGTAAAACTCGCACATGAACTTGCAGATGACGTGTTTGAGAAATTCGCAACCGTAGCCATTATTTTGTCCGTGTTAAACACAATGTTGCTACACTGAGTAAAAATGTTGCCGACAAAATAGTGCAACATTCATGCACCATATGGGAACTCTGGAAAATATGGTAACATTAGCTAGCTAGCTCGACTTGGTAGATGTTTAGATGTCAATAGAGAGGCGCACGTTAGTACTGCAAGTGGCAGACATTATGCAACTAACTAGGCTAACTATTATTTTAACATTTAGCCTGCTATAAAGAAAACGACTTGTTGCAGTGTCCTCGACAAGTTTATAGACCTGTGCAAGTTCGTACTGCGTTGTGTGCGTAGGGCACTTAGTTGAATCTCTTCCACCATTTTCCCGTTTAGAGGCTATAGCACTGGAAATGTGCAAGAATTTAGAAAAACTCACCCGTAGACGCAGATTCCTCTTCCAAATATCTCGCTGTGGTGGCACTTTAACACATTGAAATGCAGACAGTGAGCTTCCTTATCTTTCACCTGTTCTTTTCCTCAATGCTTTAAAGTCGTCCACCTCCTTTGATCACTTCTGGTCCGGTTTCTTTCTTTCTCCCTTTCTTTCTTTTGCTGCACATAACTCTCAGCTCCCTATACAGCCATTTTCCAGCACAGCACCGCGCAGAAAAGGAGAGTGCGTGGGAACTAATATGAACAGCGCGGAAACAAACGAACCCAGTCGGAAAAGCACGAATCATTGCAGGACAGGAAGCATATGGTAATTTCAATGTAAAAGGACCCATGAGCACCAACATGTGAAGTTCATAGGATCATGTCAAATTGGGTGTCAAATTAAAACTAAGTCTATCTTTATTAGAAATTAAGGCATATATACATGTATCAACCATTTTCCCATCCATAAAATTTAGAATAAGTGAAGGCTTAGACTTTCATTTTGTTATTTTTTATTTATTTAACTAGGCAAGTCAGTTAAGAAAAATTCTTATTTACAATGACAGCCTACACCGGCCAAACCCGGACGACACTGGGCCAATTGTGCGCCGCCCTATGGGACTCCCAATCACGGCCGGTTGTGATACAGCCTGGAATCGAACCAGGGGGTCTGTAGTGACGCCTCAAGCACGGATAATGAAAGTTCACATAAGTAACAAGTAGTTCGTGTTTTTACTGATATCAGTTTTGTTTATGAATTATTAAGTGATTCAATCCAAATCAGTAATGGCATTTTCGAAAAATCAGTAACGGAATTTCTGCAATTGAATTGGCTACAATGGGAAATCATAGTAGTCACAGACCACAAGTGGGTTCACAAGTTTGGACAGCACAGTACAGTAAAGAAAGGAAGAGTATAGTTCAGTACAGTAGAGTACACTAGAGCTGAGTACAGTATAATGTATTGTATTGTACTGTACTGTACTGTATTGAAATATACTGTACTGTGCTGTACTCCACTGTAGTCTAATGAGCTCTACTGTGCTGTACTTTGATGTCCAAACGTGTGAAATATAGACTTCTATGATTGGTTCAGATTTGGTCCAGACCAATCAAATGTTGTCTTATTTGGGGGCAGAGCTCATTAAAATAATAGCCAGTGTTTAGAATAATACCCAAATATGCAAATGAGGATATATCTATACCTTTGTGTACCTATTTAAGATACATCACCAGGAAGAGAATTACATTCATAGCCATGTATTTCTGTGTAGTACAGATCAGGGACCATGATGAAATTCTATTACCGCAATTCCGTTATCGGGTGTAAATTAACTTCACTTACTGTCGTTCAATAACCAAAATAGATTTTTTCAAAGTCAAGGTGTCATGTCATAGCTGACACACCATTCTTTCTGCAGACATCGTTAAATCTTAATTCGGAGCAGATATTTAACAGTTTTGGGAAAACGTGGACACAAAAAACTGTGGGAGATTTTACAGAAATTATGTTAACAAACTTTGCATCTGCACAGTTCTTCTAGTAAATGTTTTTGTAAAATGTTCAGTGTAAATTGTTCAAAGTAGTCCTTGTGCATAGTTATACAGTTTGTTAAACTTTGAAATCAATGTTTTCTGTTTGGCATACATTTTAAGTGAAAAATTGGAGTCTCGGCGCAATTCCGTTATCGTGCAATTGCCCGTATGCCCATGATAAATATTTCACCTCTCCTGAATTGAAGCATTTCAGTCATCCTAAAAAAAAGTATATTGACAGTACAACCATTTCATGCCTGTTCATAACTGCGTTTTTTTTTTTTTTTTATGATTATACCATAACCTTGCTCAGTATTCTGATGAAGTGTTGTCTATGCTGTATCAGATAGCACTAATAACTAGACTACTCCAACTAATTTTCTTTACAATTAGCTACCAGGTTGAACAAAGAATATTTACATTTTGTCATTTACCTGGCCTTCAGATGTGATGTGAAGACTTATTGTAACAGACACAATATATATTGTTTTGAATGGAAAAATATGCATTTGATCACAATAAGCCTCTACAGTTGTTAGTGTTGTGAATGTGCTTCTCAAAAATGTTGTAAGATGTAAGTCCCGAAAATAACTGTACACTTCATATTAGTCTTCTGCCATTAATTTATTTCAAACACTGTTAGACAATTGAGAGAAAATGGATTTCACACCAACTTTCACCAGAAACCAGTTTGGGAAATATACAATGAAGTAGTTTGAGGGTCACCAAGGTAAGACAACGAAACAAACATGAATGATGTTTATGGATTCCAACTGACCATTACAGATATCCACATTTATCATACATCAGGAAAAATATGAGAAGGTAGTTGTAATCAGTTGGTTATATTCTTCGTCCACCTCAGGCTTTCGCTCTGTTTATTATTGAAGTTGAATCAAAGACCACTAAATGAATACATTTCAGTTATGTAAAAATACACACTAATTTGGGTGCATTCAGAACCAGTGTATTTTTTCTTGTGTTACATTAAACAGTGTAGAAGTGCAGAATGGGTCATATATTTGCAATCGAAGTCTCCTTCTCCATGCTGTAAGAATCAGACAAAGTCTCTAGCAAGCAATACCATGAAAACAACATTCACTAATATAACAAGTAGTTATTGAGTTCAGTGAAAAATGTCTAGCATGAGGACACAGTAGTAGGAAGAGGCAGTACTTCCAATAAAGGGACCACACTTTGACAACATCAAGATCTGGGAAATCCATTTGGAATTGAATGACCTATTTGATTATACCCTCACAAAAATCACACTTATTTGTTTCAAGTTCTAATGAAGTATATAAATAAAATAGATACGTTTTAGATTTCTGACCTTCTGTTATCCTATCTCGTTCCAGTTGTTCAAGTATTAGTTGGTGACAAATTATTATTTGTATTTTAACTCAATCAATATTCCCATATCCCCAGCAAACTGTGAAACACGTGTTCCTAACATCACCTGACATACAGACAGTTCATCCTAATATTACAGTGTATTTGAAATACCCACGAGTAGAATAATTTTGGTTGTTAATTCTATAGTTGCAAAAGAAAACAATGACAGTATACAACGTTGACAGCCAAACCATTGCCTACATCTTCAAATCTTTCACCAAACCTCTGTCATTCTATCAAGTCTGTTGTCCCCCACACACACACACACACCCACACACACCCACCTTTTAAGCATTGCCAACTGCTGTTTAGGTTAGTTATGGTGTTTGTAAACAGCATAGGCGTATCAGCAATGCAACAAGACTGCTTCCATATAAAAATATACAAAACACAGTTCAATTTCTTTGTCCTTCATGGCTTCTGTTGGAATCCTGCTGATCCCTGTAATTCGTTGTAACAATAACTAAGTGCACTCCCCGCCACTGTTTCAGTAAAAAGCTGAGGAATGGGGAATGGGGCTAGAGAAATGGAGTTCTAACCATGTTTTGAGGCTTTACAGTGTTTGTTTACATTTACAACCACTGGAGTAAAACATGTTTATAATTTTGGGTGCTGATGGGGAATGACAGTTGAACTAAGCTCATGAATCTTTTATAAATTATAATCTTCAAGAATCTATGGGTACATATCATTAATTTATAAGTCCAAAAATGGATGGAGCAATTGCCGATTGCCCCTTTTAACAGTGAAGATTGAAAAAGTTGACATACAGTACACATCTGACCCTAAAATGTAAACATTCATTCATATAACATGGTTTAAAAACAGCACAGGGAGCGTTCCTACATGAACTATGTAAATCTTCAAATGCAAAAGGAAAACAAGGGTTCTGAAAAATTATGAGAACAGTGTTAAGGGAAAACGCCTAACCTGTGCAAATATACTCTTCTGCTAGATTACATTGTAGGGTAGCTTGCGTCAACAAGCAGGTAGATGGTGATCCTGCAATGCCCTAACACTAGTATCAAAAGGTAGCAATTATTCTGTGTCCCGTCAATCATTTTGTGATTTAAACTAAAGAAGAATCGGTGGAGTGTATCCATTTGATGACATCACTGGATGATTGACAGGGCATGGCAGCAGGGTTCATTCCTGAAGCTTCCTATGTACGGTACCTCTTATTTAGAAGGGTTCTTATGAGTAATCCATGCTTTGGCACGGTGGCACTATTTCACTATCCCTGATTCTTTTGGATCCAGTCTTGATAGTGACCACAAATTACTACTACCACATTATTGTTCTAGTGTGTTAAAAATGGCACTGAATTAAAGGGCTTAGACACACGTTAAGTACATAAACATTCAACGTATGTTTGAAAGGCCAAATTTGATCAGACAAAATCAGCAGCCACTTTTGGAATACTAATAAAATTTTAACCAATTTAACAGAGATATTGGAGAAAACATTTTCTTCATCTGCTGTCTCCATCTAGAAACCACATCCAAACCTTTGTTCTTAATTTAGTTCATTAACTTGAAGTTTCCTCATGTCTCTATCAATTCACACAACAGAATGGCTGCATCAAATGTGACGTTTTCACAAATAAGGGCCAATACATTAAGTCATATTCAGCCCGAAACAAATAAAATGAACATTAAAAAAAAGTCATAAATAGGTTATTTAAAAAAAAAAAAAAAAAAAAGGTATTTACAAAGTACAAAAATGTTACAGGTGCTACAACCTAAAACCAAAGGGGGGAAGGAAGGGGAAACCAAAAAAAGGATGTAAACCAATTTTGGATCAACAGTTTTGAGAGTGGTATGATGCATACTGTAACTCAACCGTGTGACGGCATCGTTTTTGTTCTCTCCCTCCGGTTGCCTCGATTGGCTCAGGCTTGAGTATATTCTCGCGGATAAACATACAAGCCCTTCATGTACTGTACAGTAGTCGGTCAGAAAGTAGGTAACCTTAGTCTAGAGTGAGACTCTACCTTGACCTTTCACCTTCTTGGAGCAACGCTAGGCTAATAACCCTCCTTCTCCTTTGGTTTGGATTTCTGCGCTGCTGTACCCTGTGCTCCTCGCCCCGCCGCCTCCAGGCTCCAGTCGGACTGAGCCGAGTTGATCCACGACGCCTTGAAACGCGGCTGCCTGACGGGGATCGCGGGGCTTGGCGCCTCCTTTTCCTCCGGGTCGTCAAAGCTAACCTCCTGCACCGCCTCCTGCTTCTTAAAGGAGTCCCTCCTCTCAGACAGGGCAAGTTTCCTCATCACCACCACCTCCTTGGAGCGGTGGTCGCTGCTGGCCGACTCCCTGTGGCTTCTCTGACCGCCCAGATACAGGCCCTGGCGGCCATGTTGTTCTCCCACACAGACAAACCCTGTGGCGGTATCCTCCAGGTCCTCTAGCCCCTCCCCTTCCGACAGGGGCATCTCCATGGTGTGTCGGCGGGTGGCAAAGGCTTTTTTGTCGCCGTGGTACACCCCTGAGAGCTTCTCGGCCGACTGCACCCTCTTGAGGAGGGGCGAGCGGGGCGGCTCGGCGCTGCGGGGGCGCACAGCATGGCGGGCTATGGTGGGAGGGGACAGGGTCTTGCCGTGGAAGCCGTGGAGGCCTTTAGACAGGCTGGGGAGGGAGGACGGAGAGCACTGGGGGGAGAGGGGCTGCGGAGGTGGGATACAGGCCAGCGGGGAGGGGGGGATGCTGCTGGTGGACTTGCAGCGACCTGCCTTGGTGTAGCGGCCCAGGACCTGAAGGGAGCTGGGACGGGCCTGGGGGACGGGGGAGTTGGGAGAGCTGGAGCAGGGAGAGGAGCTCTGGGGGGAGTTGGAGTCTGAGAGAGAACATGATGTAGATAAGACTTTGATTTCTGCAGTTACAAAGAAAACATTCTCATTGTAGTGCTGATAACTGTTTGATAATAACTAGAATAAACTTTAGCCTGAATTTCTTCTGTATGACATATGCCATTAAATCCAAAGCTTTGGCATAACACAGGTTTCCTCAAATACAAATTGGCTTGGCCTATTACAAGGGTTGAAACATTGTCAAATGCCCACCTAAAAACACAAAATTATGCACGACACAAAATGGTGGCCCAGTTTCGATCCAATAAAGAGGCTAGCTAGCAACTCACCTCCAGACTGGTCGGGGGCGGGGGAGCGGCAGGGTGTGGAGGGCCCAGGCGAGAGGCTCTGGGTGGGGGAGCCAGACAGGCTGTCACTGGAGGAGACTGAATGTTGGAAGCCGGAGGAAAAACTGCGACTGCTCTGCATGGGAGGAGGGGTGTGCTTGGACAGCTTCTTCCAGATGGTACGTCGTCTACTACAGGAGAGAAATGGGATTCAAGTGCCTTCGGAAAGTATTCTGACCCCTTGACATTATCCACATTTTGTTAGGTTACAGCCTTATTCTAAAATGGATTAAATAAATAAAAATCCTAATCAATCTACACACAATACCGCATAATGACAAAGCGAAAACAGGTTTTTATAAATTTAGGCAAATGCATTGAATATAAAATACAGAAATACCTTATTTACATAAGTATTCAGACCCTTTGCTATGAGACTTGAAATTGAGCTCAGGTGCATCATGTTTCCATTGATCATCCTTGAAATGTTTCTACAACTTGATTGGAGTCCACCTGTGGTAAATTCAATTGATTGGACATGATTTGGAAAGGCACACACCTGTCTATACAGTGAGGGAAAAAAGTATTTGATCCCCTGCTGATTTTGTACGTTTGCCCACTGACAAAGAAATGATCAGTCTATAATTTTAATGGTAGGTTTATTTGAACAGTGAGAAACAGAATAACAACAAAAAAATCCAGAAGAACGCATGTCAAAAATTTTATAAATTGATTTTCATTTTAATGAGGGAAGTAAGTATTTGACCCCCTCTCAATCAGAAAGATTTCTGGCTCCCAGGTGTCTTTTATACAGGCAACGAGCTGAGATTAGGAGCACACTCTTAAAGGGAGTGCTCCTAATCTCAGCTTGTTACCTGTATAAAAGACACCTGTCCACAGAAGCAATCAATCAATCAGATTCCAAACTCTCCACCATGGCCAAGACCAAAGAGCTCTCCAAGGATGTCAAGGACAAGATTGTAGACCTACACAAGGCTGGAATGGGCTACAAGACCATCGCCAAGCAGCTTGGTGAGAAGGTGACAACAGTTGGTGTGATTATTTGTAAATGGAAGAAACACAAAAGAACTGTCAATCTTCCTCGGCCTGGGGCTCCATGCAAGATCTCACCTCGTGGAGTTGCAATGATCATGAGAACGGTGAGGAATCCGCCCAGAACTACACGGGAGGATCTTGACAATGATCTCAAGGCAGCTGGGACCATAGTCACCAAGAAAACAATTGGTAACACACTACGCCGTGAAGGACTGAAATCCTGCAGCGCCCGCAAGGTCCCCCTGCTCAAGAAAGCACATATACATGCCCATCTGAAGTTTGCCAATGAACATCTGAATGATTCAGAGGAGAACTAGGTAAAAGTGTTGTGGTCAGATGAGACCAAAATCGAGCTCTTTGGCATCAACTCAACTCGCCGTGTTTGGTGGAGGAGGAATGCTGCCTATGACCCCAAGAACACCATCCCCACCGTCAAACATGGAGGTGGAAACATGCTAAGGGGACAGGACAACTTCACCGCATCAAAGGGACGATGGACAGGGCCATGTACCATCAAATCTCAGCCAGGGCATTGAAAATGGGCCGTGGATGGGTATTCCAGCATGACAATGATCCAAAACACACGGCCAAGGCAACAAAGGAGTGGCTCAAGAAGAAGCACATTAAGGTCCTGCAGTGGCCTAGCCAGTCTCCAGACCTTAATCCCATAGAAAATCTGTGGAGGGAGCTGAAGGTTCGAGTTGCCAAACGTCAGCCTCGAAACCTTAATGACTTGGAGAAGATCTGCAAAGAGGAGTGGAACAAAATCCCCCGAGATGTGTGCAAACCTGGTGGCCAACTACAAGAAACGTCTGACCTCTGTGATTGCCAACAAGGGTTTTGCCACCAAGTACTAAGTCATGTTTTGCAGAGGGGTCAAATACTTATTTCCCTCATTAAAATGCAAATCAATTCATAACATTTTTGACATGCGTTTTTCTGGATTATTTTGTTGTTATTCTGCCTCTCACTGTTCAAATAAACCTACCATTAAAATTATAGACTGATCATGTCTTTGTCAGTGGGCAAACATACAAAATCAGCAGGGGATCAAATACTTTTTTCCCTCACTGTATAAGGTCCCACAGTTGACAGTGCATGTCAGAGCAAAAACCAAGCCATGAGGTCGAAGGAATTGTCCGTAGAGCTCCGAGACAGGATTGTGTCGAGGCACAGATCTGGGGAAGGGTACCAAAAAATGTCTGCAGCATTGAAGGTCCCCAAGAACACAGTGGCCTCCATCCATTCTTAAATGGAAGAAGTTTGGAACCACCAAGACTCTTCCTAGAGCTGGCTGCTCGGCCAAACTGAGCAATCGGGGGAGAAGGGCCTTGGTCAGGGAGGTGACCAAGAACCCGATGGTCACTCTGACAGAGCTCCAGAGTTCCTCTGTGGAGATGGGAGAATCTTCCAGAAGGACAACCATCTCTGCAGCACTCCACCAATCAGGCCTTTATGGTAGAGTGGCTAGACGGAAGCCACTCCTCAGTAAAAGGCACATGACAGCCCGTTTGGAGTTTGCCAAAAGCCACCTAAAAGGACTCTCAGACCACGAGAAACAAGATTATTTGGTCTTATGAAACCAAGATTGAACTCTTTGGCCTAAATGCCAAGCGTCACGTCTGGAGGAAACCTGGCACCATCCCTATGGTGAATCATGGTGGTGGCAGCATCGTGCTGTGGGGATGTTTTTCAGCGGCAGGGACTGGGAGACTAGCCAAGATCGAGGGAAAGATGAACGGAGCAAAGTACAGAGAGATCCTTGATGAAAACCTGCTCCAGAGCGCTCAGGACCTCAGACTGGGGCGAAGGTTCACCTTCCAACAGGACCACAACCCTAAGCACACAGCCAAGACAATGCAGGTGTGGCTTTGGGACAAGTCTCTGAATGTCCTTGAGTGGCCCAGCCAGAGCCTGGACTTGAACCAGATCGAACATCTCTGGAGAGACCTGAAAATAGCTGTGCAGCGACACTCCCCATCCAACCTGACAGAGCTTGAGAGGATCCGCAGAGAAGAACGGGAGAAACTCCCCAAATACAGGTGTGCCAACTTTGTAGAGTCATACCCAAGAAGACTTGAGGCTGTAATCGCTCCCAAAGGTGCTTCAACAAAGTACTGAGTAAAGGGTCTGAATGCTTATGTAAATGTGATATTTCTGTTTTTTTATTTATTTTTAGATGTGCAAAAATATCTAAAAACCTGTTTTCACTTTGTCATTACGGGGTATTGTGTGTAGATTGATGAGTAAAAAACAAAAAACAATTTAATACATTTTAGAATAAAGCTGTAACGTAACATAATGTGGAACAAGTTAAGGGGTCTGAATACTTCCCGAATGCACTGTAAATGCTGTGGGTATACAGGGTTTCAGCAATCGGTTACTAGGCCGATTGGGTATTAGATGATTTTTATAATACTCTGATATATGATTATGTGAATGCAAAACATGGCTATGTTTGTACAAACGGCACCCAATAGAGGAGGGCTTTTTGTCTTATCTGCCATGACACCCAGATAGCAGATGATACACATTGGTAGTGATGACTGGAATAACTGCTCCTCATATAATGGAGAGCCTTGCAATGTTCTACTCTTACCCTTCCTGGCCGTCCTTCCTCTTGTGTTTCTTGCTGCGTCGAGCCATCTTGCTCTTGTAGCTGGTCTTCCTGGCTGGGCCCACCTTGATGGAGGTGTTCTCCAGGGCCGTGGTCTGCAGCGTCACCTTGTTGCCACTCTGTGAATAGAACGGCTATTGGTTTACTGGGCACCAAATGTTCTATGTAGGATATGTAGGCTAGAGAATGCATATGGAATATATATTTCCTGCTTATAGAACTGTGATCACTGATTTGTAACAGGATTGCACAGGTAAAAGGACTGGGACGACTGCAATGGGGTTAATATGGACAGGGGCAATATAAGGACTGAAGAATTTCTTGGGGTTTCTTTTTAGGGAGACTGGTCTTGAGAAAGGCCTTGTGCTGAAACATTAACGAGCTATATCCTCCTTGTTTCTTTTTTGTTTGTTTTTGTGGACAAAATGTAGTCATACTGTTTATTTCAGAAGGTAGGAAAAAGGGAAGGGGGGAGAAAGAGAGAGATGGGGAGCGAGAAGAGAAAGGGGGAGAGGGGAGAGAGGGAGAGAGAGACGAGGGGGAGGGGAGAGAGAGAGAGAGGCGAAGAGCAGGGGAGAAGAGAGGAAAGGGGGAGAGGCGGGAGCAGAGAAGGGGGATCGAGGGCGAGAGAGAGGATGAGAGAGAGAGAGCAGAGGGAGAGAGAGGCGGGAGGAGAGGGGCGAGAGAGGGAGAGAGGCGGAGAGATGGAGGGAGAGGAGAGAGGGGAGAGAGAGGAGAGGGGGAGAGAAGGGAGAGGAGGAGAGAGGAGGGGAGAGGAGGCGGAGAGGGGGAGAGGGCGAGAGAGAGGAAGAGGGAGCGAGAGAGAAGATAGGGAGAGAGAGAGGAGGGGAGAGAGAGCGAGGGGAGAGGAGAGAGGGGAGAGAGAGCGATGGGGGGAGAGAGGAGGAGAGGGGGGAGAGAGAGAGGAGAGGGGGGAGAGAGAGCGAGGGGGAGGTGAGAGAGAGACGAGAGGGGAGGGACGAGAGAGAAGAGAGGGAGGGAGACGTGGGGTAGACGGGGAGGAGAGGGGGAGAGAGATGAAGGAAGAGAGAGAGGAGAGAGGGTGTACGACAGAGGTGGAGAGAGAGAGGAGAGAGAAAGGGAGTGGAGAGAGGGGAGTGGATGAGAGGAGAGATAGAGAGGGAGAGCAAGGGGAGAGGAGAGGGGAAAGAGAGAAGGAAGAGAGAGGAGGTGGGAAGAGAGAGGGACATAGGGAGAGAGGAACGAAGAGAAAGAGAGAAGGGGAGAGAGAGATAGAGAGACGGATGAGGCAGAGAGAGAGGAGAGAGAGAGAGAGGAGAGGAGAGAGAGAGAGAGACGAAAAGAGAAGACAGAACAACAACAGAAGAACAGCAGAACCAGACATACGAGAAAAGAAGTAGACCAATACTAGGAGAAAGATTGAGTGTGTCCTCTACAGTGGCTCACCTGAGAAGCACTCACACCCAGTGTGCACCAGCCCCTGGACCGACTCCCCGTTCACGTGGGTGATGAGGTCACCAGCCCTAAGGCCCACCTCGTGGGCCGGAGTGCCCTCCTCCACACACTACAGGAACACATGAAGAACAACCAATCAGAATGTAACCCTGCTTTGACATTTATCAATGCTTTCAGAAACTAAATGTACAACAAGACGAAATAACATGTTGGCTAAAGAATAAACTAACAAACTGGCACCCGAACTAACAATAATCCCTGTGGATTAAAACCAGCCAGATATTTGGTATTTGTTGTTATAAACAACTATGACACATAATGAAATAACTAAACAACACAAACCAATCACAGATAGATCAACCAGACAATAAAACCAAGTCCCAATACGTTAAGTGTAAAGCGTGACTGCAGCAGTACTAGGAACCATAGAGATGCATACTTGAGTGGCCTGTGCCATAAAAATGTCCCTGACCAAGATGGCCATCCTGTAGTCATGTTGTCTAGTGATCTATTTAATTCTGTGGTAGGAACACTTACCCAGACCATGTGGTGCACGGTGTAGACGTCCAAGTCACCCATGTAGACGCGGATGGCGCGCAGGGCGAAACCGAACCTCTTCCCAGAGCTGTGGATGACCATGGGGGGGCGAAGGCTGGTGATGCTGAGGGACAGGTCTCCCCGGCTGGGGGACGAGTCCCGGGACGAGGGGTTGGAGGATAGGGACAGCGATGACTTGGGGCTGCTGGGGAGACCGTCCGTGGTGTCTGGGGGTATGGAGAGAGAACACATGTTAGGACTGAGGAATTTCTTGGGGAATTTAACAAAGTATAAGTCGGAACAAGCATATCAATCATAGAGGCTACAGGGCATTGTAGGCTACATACACAATACAGTGGTGTTGTTGTTGTTAGCATTATGCTAACCTCTGAATATGTGTTAGAGTCAGTGGCTGCATCTCAAATGCTTGGCCCATATAAAATACAGCTTTTAGCCATAGCTCTGGCCAAAAACAATCCATAGAAATGTATGTTCTATGAAGCGATGTATGTTACCGGGAATAGGGTACAGTTTGAAACTGACCTCTCTTAACGTCTGAGTATACTGGTACAAGCTAGCTAGCTCCGGTAGTTTAATTTACCTGGGGTGATGATAAGGGACAGGCCCGAGATGGAGGCTGACTTGGGGACCTTGCAGCCCGCCGGGGGCCTGAGCTTCTCTGGGGTGTCCAGCTGGTGCCCGATGCGGCGGGACGCCCCTCGCCTGTAGGAGGGCCGCGTGCCTGTGCTGTTACTACGAAGACGGATACGCCGCAAGTTGGACACTACGCCATCTGATAGAGGAGTGAAAGAGGGAGAGAGAGGGGGCGGGTGGTAAGTGAATGTCTAACAGTGCACGCTAGAGCGTGGGCATTCTTCTCTTTTAGTAATGTAAGCCCAGTACAAATAGCCTGTGTGTGTATATATACACACAATATCTTTGTGGGTGTTTACTTGACGTATATGACAGTGTGTCTGTGTGTGTAGGCCTAAAAATATTTGTGTGTGTGAACCAGTGCAGTCTAAACTCACCCTCTTCCTCAGCTGCGATGGCGAAGCGTGGCATGGTGTCCAGGCTCTGGGTGCTGTTCATCACCAGCGGACTGGCACTCCTCTCTGACTGGGACAAACTGGAGGAGGCCCTGGGACGCAGGCTAGTGGACAAGAGGGGAGGAGAACATAATCAAGTTAACAAGGACAGGACAAGACAAGACACACTTACAGAGACAGGGTAATTGTGATCTGGTTATGCTACAATGAATGGAAGAACGACTCTTTCTACCCGCTAATTCATATTTAACTTTAAAATGTGTGCATGTTTTCAATAGTTGGATTTGAGTGTGATTTCTCCCTTATACCCATACACTCTTAGTAAAAAAGGTGCTATCTAGAATCTAAAAGGGTTCTTCGGCTATCCCCATAGGAGAACCCTTTGAAGAACCATTTTTGGTTCCAGGTAGAACCCTTTTGGTTCCAGGTAGAATCGTTTTTAGTTCCAGGTAGAACCCTTTTGGGTTCCATGTAGAACCCTCTGTGGAAAGGGTTCTACATGGAACCCAAAGAGTTTTACCTGGAACCAAAAAGGGTTCTCCTATGGGGACAGCCGAAGAACCATTTTGGAACCCTTTTTTCTAAGTGTATAAAAGGCAAATGTAGCAGAGTTTAATTAATTTTGTCGATGTTTCCACTAGAGCTAGACTAGTCCCACAAGTACACACCAAACATAGTGTAGTCTGAGGCCCTTTCTCTGTCTCTCACCTTCCTCTGTGGCCCTCCGTCCTCCGGTCCCCACTGGTCACATGTTTGTGTCCCTCTCCTGGGGAGAGGACACCCCTCCCCTCCCACCTCTCCTCCTTCTCCTCACTGTGGCTGCGGTCCGACGACGACAGGCTCTGATTGGATGGCGTGGATGTGGACAGGTGCTCTGTGCTGCTATACACCTGGGGGGCACAAAGAGGTCAGAGAAAGGTCTCAACGAAGTCAGGGGTCAGAGAAAAGGTCACAAAAAAGCTTTGTGAAATGACAAGCATGCTTTTTAAGGGTGCAATATGCAGAAATCGCTCCGGTATTTCCTGCTTGCTAAAATGATTATAGTTAGTCTAATTTCAGTTTATTTGACAAAACAAGCTCTCTAACCCTGTTCCTGGAGAGCTACCGTCCTGTAGGTTTTCACTCCAACCCTAATCTGGCACACCGGATTCTAATAATTAGCTGGTTGATAAACTGAACCAGGTTAGTTACAACTGGGGTTGGAGCGAAAACCTACAGGAGGGTAGCGCTCCAGGAGCAGGGTTGGAGAACCCTGATGTAGAGAATCATTGTACCATCTAAATCGCTATGAAATATCCTTTCAATGACCAAAAATATTGTATTTTCAGTTAGAAGCTGGTGTACAAATCCGAAAGTAAAAGACGCAAAATCAAAACTTAAGAACGGAAAAGATAGAAATAGCGCACATAGAACAGGGAATTTCACGCACGACAGTGTCTAGGGTTTACAGAGAATGGTGCAACAAACAGACAAATAACGGCGCAGTACAACAGCGGTGTGCAGAACAGCATCTCGGAACGCACAACTCGTTGATTCTTCGTCACGGATGGGCTGTTGCAGCTGACCACACTGGGTTCCACTCCTATCAGCTAAAAACAAGAAGAAGCTGCTCCAGTAGGCACGCCATCACCAACACTGGACAATTGAGGAGTGGAAAAAAATTTGACGGTTCCTGTTGCGTCATGCTGATGGCAGTCAGGATTTGGAGCAAGCAGCATGAGTCCATCCTGCCTGGTGTCAATGGTACAGGCTTGTGGCGGTGGTGTACTGGTGTGGGGAATGTTTTCCTGGCAGGATGTGTCCCTTGATACCATTTGAGCAACGATTGAACACCATGCCCCGAAGAATTCAGGTTGTTCTGGAGGCAAATGGTCCGACCCGGTACTAGATGGGTGTGCCTAATAAACTGGCCACTGAGTGTATGTTAGGAAAATACTACATTGAACGATATGAATAAATGTTGGGTCATTTCCCACCTTGCTAAAGCGATGTGCCACAGAGGAGAACTGCTTGAGCTCCAGGGACGTATCTTCGTCACAGGTCTCATCATCATCATCATCATCATCTTCAGAATCCAGGTGGCTGTACCGCTCAGACCGGGCTGAAAAGTAACACAGACACACATTAGTACAAGTAGGGTTGCAAAACTACCGGTAATTAACAAAAAAGTTACCAGATTTTTTTTTTTACTTTGGTAATTAACAGGTACTCTATGGCAATCTATGGTAATTTTGGTAATTTATACTTGAATAACTTTTTTAAATGTATTACATTTACATTTATTACATTTACGTCATTTAGCAGACGCTCTTATCCAGAGCGACTTACAGGAGCAATTAGGGTTAAGTGCCTTGCTCAAGGGCACATCGACAGATTTTTCACCTAGTCGGCTCGGGGATTAGAACCAGCGACCTTTCGGTTACTGGCACAACGCTCTTAACCACTAAACTACCTGCCGCCCCATTATTATTAATAGAAAATAGAAAATAAATCTTCATCTGTGTCCATATTGTCCATGAGTTTCAAGATGATATACCCTATGGTTCAAGAGAAAATAGCCTAAATTAAAAACGATGACATTTTCAATTAACTCTGCAACTCTTCCAACAATTGACTTTTTTCACAACTGCCACCAGTTTGGCGCCAAAGCATTTACAACAGACATATTGACATAGTAAAATAAACAAAAGCGTGTAAAAAATATAAAAGGATATTTAATGCTGAAACTCATATTAAACACAAACGATATTCACTAAATTGATGGGTTATATTTAGGGTACTGTTTTACAGCTTAGTCATTCTATTTTAAAATCATCATATTTTATTATTTAAAATCTTAATTTATATATTTTATTATGTTATGAAAATTCCATAACATTTCTAAATATTCCAGTAGTTTACTGGTAAACTTCGAAAGGTACCAGTAATATACCCTAAGTACAAGTCAAGAACAGAGCAGCAGTATACTACTACACAGATTAGGTTAAATTGGCCCTAACCCCTGACCCTGGGTCAGATATTTTATCACCCCCATATGATTAAGATTTGGCTGGCGGGTAAGGAATTCTGACCCTAGATCTGAGGTTAGGACCAACTTCAGTACACAACCACATTTAAAATACTCCCAATGAGAGTGGTAAAGGTCGCCACCTACTGTCAAAGTAGCTGGTGTCGTCCTCAGTCTCCAGTTGGGGGATAAACTCAGCTTTCTGTCGTAACAGTCCGTTCCAGTCCAGACCCACAAAGAACATGTGCATCTTGACCTCTGGTGTTCCCCCTGGGAATAACATGGGGATACATGATTGTATCATTTATTTGATCAAACTATTCATCTATATGATCAACTGAATATACCAAACATTAGGAACACCTTCCTAATATTCAGTTGCACCCTCCTCTTTTGCCCTCAGAACAGCCTCAATTCGTCGGGGCATGGACTCTACAAGGTATCAAAAGCGTTCCACAGGGATGCTGGCCCATGTTGACTCCAATGTTTCCCACAGTCGTGTCAAGTTGGCTGGATGTCCTTTGGGTGGTGGACCATTCTTAATACACATGGGAAACTGTTGAGCGTGAAAAACCCAGCAGCGTTGCAGTTCTTGACACACTCAAACCGGTGCGGCTGGCACCTACTACCATACCCCATTAAAAGGCACTTCAATTAAGTGGATTTAACAAGTGACATCAATAAGGGATCATAGCCTTCACCTGGATTCACCTGATCAGTCTATGTCATGAATAGAGCAGGTGTTCTTTATGATTAATATACTCAGTGTAGTCAAACACACATCACTTTAGGTGGTGCATATTTGATCAATCTCATTAAACCATCTTGGTGATTAAAACAACTATTATGACATTGAACCATTTCAGTGAAGAATATAGTATTGTGTGTATTTATTGATCTGTGGTAATGATATTGGTCATGTCCCTAACGATCTTGTGACAACTTCTTCAAAGGTGTCAAAAAAGTATTCAAGAAGTGACTTGTTCAATCAGATACTCAGATACTTCAAAAGTGTCCTAACATAATACTGTCCTGACATCATACCCAAAATAAATAAATACATGTGTTTTTATTAAGGCAATAAAGAAGCCACCCACCAGTCCCGAGGCGGTCTAGGGGGCTTTGTCTCAGCAGCCTGGTGATCAGGTCCTGGGCATCAGCAGGCAGGGTGTCTTCCCCTTTAGGCCAGATAATGTCATCTGTGAAATACACACATTTTGGAATACAATTTCATCTGAATTACACACAATACAACATGAAACATTTGGCAATCATTCAAACAGACTGGTAGTTGGGAACTGTGACATTGGTGACGAGAAGTTATTCTTGACATTGGTGACTAGACGTTTGAAAGACGGTGTGCTTGGTTCAAAAAGACTGACAGCATGCACCATGCAACAGTGGCAATCAATGGCAAAATATAAGAGGTGCACCCTCTATCTTTTCTAACGCTGTAGTGCATATTTATTGGATCTATTTGACCAGTCAGAGCCACGTTACCCAAGCGTGGATAAACCAAAGTGAATAATTAAAACAATTGTAAAAAATAGCATTCACTCTAATTTAACCAGGTTAACGCTACCCATTCATTAGATGGTAAACCTCAACTACCTCAACTAGCCGGTGCCCCCGCACATTGACTATGCAACGGTACCCCCCTGTATATATAGCCTCCCTACTGTCACTTTATTTTACTGTATATATAGCCTCCCTACTGTCACTTTATTTTACTTCTGCTCTTTTTTTCTCAACACTTTTTTTGTTGTTGTTTTATTCTACTTTTTTTGTTTAAAATAAATGCACTGTTGGTTAAGGGCTGTAAGTAAGCATTTCACTGTAATGTCTGCACCTGTTGTATTCGGCGCATGTGACCAATAAAATTTGATTTGATTTGATTTGAGATGACTCTCACCATTGACCACCTGTCCGAAGAGCTGTTCGGGCGTGTCCCCGAAGAAAGGCACGCAGCCCACCAGGAACTCATAGAGGATGATTCCCATAGCCCACCAGTCCACCGGCTTCCCATAGCCCTGCCTCAGGATCACCTCTGGGGCTATGTACTCTGGAGTACCACACACCTGGGACAGAGAACCAGAAGAAGGGAGGATTTAAGAATGGACATTGGATGATAAAAAGAGTATAGGGCAGGTAGGTAAACAGAATGAGGAGAGAGAGAGAGAGAGAGAGATGGAGAAGATCTGATCAAGGAAAAATAATATAAGAAACAAAAGTGAGAGAAAAAGAAAAAATTCAGGCAAAAATGAAGAGAGAGAGGACAGAGAGAGATGGAGAGCTCACCTGCTTGTCTATAAACTCCCTTGTGTCCTTCTCAATGTGTCCCTCATACAGGTTGGTGGTCATGTTCATCAGGCCGATCTTGGACAGGCCAAAGTCAGTCAGCTTGATGTGGCCCATGGATGTGATCAGCAAACTAAGCAGGAAGAAAAATACATTCAAAATAATTTACCATCGAACAAACAGAATGCTGGATGTGACTGCCGAAAACCCTTTCAAAGAACGTCCAGAATTAGGCTCCGGACTTTACACCTAAACAAAGCCCCCTCCTTCCTTTTCGTCTTTTACCACTCCAAATCCACTTGAAAAATATAGCTTATTAAAAATAATACAAGCCTAGTTCGAAAAATAACCCGGAACCATGAGGTCGGGGGAGACCTCATAAATCTAACTTAGAAGAATCAAACCCGGGAAACATTAAACCATGTTGTTATTTGTCCCATGCCACCTATTCCTCCAGTCATGCCCTACGAAAGCCCTTACTCTCCACTTAACGGTCCAAAAAAAGCCCTAGTTTGAAAACCCCGTCATAAATGCGAATCCCTTGTCCACGGGCCACACTGTATATATAAAGCAGTAAACCGGCATGTAGGTTCCCACAACTGTCAGGTTCAGGCCGTGTCCTGCCCCTATTTTTGTATACTCCTGCCAAAGACTCTCCCCAAGTCTCGGGTCTGCAGTCACCGGCCCAATTTTTCCAACATTGCCCGTCCCCACCTGAGGAGGAAGACGGCATTCAAAGGGCTGGCACAGTCCCCACCTGAGGAGGAAGACGGCATGTCCAACAGGTTGCACAGTCCCCCCACCTGAGGAGAAAAACGCATGTCAACAGGCTGGCACAGTCTCCCACCTGGGGTAGGAAGAGGGCATGTCAAACATCTGCACAGTTCCCCCCATGGAGATGATGTCATGTCAACAGGTTGGCCGTCTTCTCCCTGAGGAGGAAATAGTCGAGCATGTCACAGGGCTGGCAACAGTCCTCCCACCTGAGGAGGAAGACTGGCAATGTCAACAGGTGCACAGTCCACCACACCCTAGGAGAAAATGGATGTCACATGTGGCAACCAGTCTCCAACCTGAGAGAATCGCATTCAACAGCTGGCACATTCTCCACCTGAGGAGAAGATGGCATGTCAACAGGCTGTCACAGTCTCTACCTGGAGGAAGACGGCATGTCAACAGGTTGGCACAGTCTCACTCCTGAGGAGGAAAAATGGCAATACCCAACAGGCTTGGCACAGTCCTCCACCCCATGAGGAAGAGCCCATGCTCCAACAGGCTGGCAATGAAAATCACCAACCTTGAGAGAATGACGGCATGTCAACAGCTGGCACAGTCCCCCACCACTAGGAATTGGCATGTAAAGGCTGGCACAGTCTCACTGTGAGAAGAACGGCATGCACAACCGCTCCCAGTCTCCACCTGAGGAGGAAGATGGAAATGTCAACAGGCTGGCACAGTCTCCACCTGGAGGAAGATGGCATGTCAACAGCTGGCACAGTCTCCACCGAGGAGGAAGACGGAAATGTCAACGGGCTGGCACAGTCTCCACCTGAGGAGGATAGACGGCATGTCAACAGGTTGGCACAGTCTCCACCTGAGGAGGAAGACGGCATGTCAACAGGCTGGCACAGTCTCCACCTGAGGAGGAAGACGGCATGTCAACAGGTTGGCACAGTCTCCACCTGAGGAGGAAGATGGCATGTCAACAGGCTGGCACAGTCTCCACCTGAGGAGGAAGACGGCATGTCAACAGGCTGGCACAGTCTCCACCTGAGGAGGAAGATGGCATGTCAACAGGCTGGCACAGTCTCCACCTGAGGAGGAAGACGGCATGTCAACAGGTTGGCAGCAACAACCATGAGAGCCTACTTTGATTTGTTTGCTGCTGCGACTTGAATTTGAACTGCAAGGCAGCAAAGTTACACCCGCTACAATATAACTTTATTATCTGACAACCGATTCAACTAAATCTCTGCCTTGGGCTTCAAATCAGTGTGTGTGTGTGTGTGTGTATGTGTTTGTGAGTGAGTGTGACAGTGTGTATCTTGTATATCATTCCAGTGGATCCTACTTTCCATATACATTATATGTCTGTGTGAGTCTGCACGGGTATATATATCTTCATTAAGAACCTACCTTCTACATACTCCATGACCATGCAGAGGTGTCGTCTCGTCTCGAAGGAGCAGAACATGGAGACCACGAAGGGGTTCTCAGCGAAGGTCAGGATGTCCCGCTCCACAAACACCTGCTGGATCTGGTTCCTCAGCATCAGATTCTGCCGGTTGATCTTCTTCATGGCGAAACGCTGCCGGGTCTCCCTGTGCCTCACCAGGAACACAGCACTGGGACCATGGAAAAGGGGAGCGAGAGAGAGAGAGAGACAGTTATTGGTTGCTTCTTAATAACAGCCCTAAGTTACCTCTTCTGCACTGATGTGAGAGAGCATGATCAGTGAGCATGATCAGTGAGCATGATCAGTAAGCATCTATCATATTGCTTTTGCCATATTTTGTTTTCAGATCAGTGCAGATGAAAGAGAGGAAGCAGTCTTCTAGAAGACTAGTAAGACACAAGCTCTGTCCAGAAACAACCCCTAGTCCCTACCCCCAGGCACTGTGGAGATCTGAGACGATTGGACAGGTGTACGTAATAGGTCCTCACAGCACTAACAACATATTTGAACAGGCATTTGGGAAGTGTGTCATAAACATTGGTGTGGCATTTGTTTAGCCAACTGTATGGCACCACACACATTCAAGTCATCCACTTTCAGTTTCACTTCTGCGTTCAGCACTCAGATTTCCTCAAAGACAGAGACCGCTCTAAATGAAGAGCTCTTCCTCACCCATAGGCCCCATTGCTGATGAGCTTGATGGTCTCAAAGTCGCTCTCTAGCGGTTTCCTGCGAGAAGGAGTGCAGGCTGTCCGGTTCTGAGACACAAAATTGATGAACAAAGCTATTTGTCCCGAACACAAAACATTTGCCAGATCGAAGCGGCTAAGCAAGCCGTGTAACTGCCGTAGTACGTGTTACTTTTAAAAGAGCTTTCGTTACTTTGTTCTATGCATCTCATCCAAAGCCAAGCAAACTAAATTCTAGAACATGCTAGTTCATGCTATAGGCCTACACAGTACTTGCTACACTATGCTAATACAATGCTTTACATCACTATGATCTAACCATCATGGGGCCGAACTTGTTGTAACTGTTTCTGGTTGCCTTACCTCCCCAGTGTCGTCAGCGTCTCTGCAGGCCGCTCCATGCCCAGGGCTGGTCTGCTCCAGAAGGACCATGTCTACAGTACAACAGCGGGAGAGAGACCATGGTCAGGCACCAAACGGAAGAAAACACACTGAAACAGGGAGAGACTACCTGGACAATACGTGACACTCATTTTCATTTTCTGTAGCAAAAAACATTCAAACGTTTATGTTGCGTGCCTTAATGAACATGACCCATGGACTCTCACCCCTCTTCAACTCAGTGCGATCCCAAGTTGATCTATTGCATATTATAGTCAGAGACACTATGGGAGAATCACTAAGTAACAGCATCTTTTCAACAGGTAGCTGCTTGGCCAGGTTTCCAACTAAACCTATAGTGCTTCAACTTAAGAGATAGTGGTTGGTTTGGAACTGAGCATAGGGAAACTTAAGGTGAAGTCAACCCTGGAATGTACCAGGATGAACAACAGAAATAGCCAAAAGGCTGGCAGATGGCGATATTGATCTGGTATTGATGGTTTCATTTTACTGTCCAAACGCATTGTATGTAGCTGGCAATACACTTGTATCCCCCGTGGACCGGTTTGTACCTAAAACATTCTCCATTCAGGCTGCAAAGGCGTCGATTTCCTCCTTAACTAGATTTAATAGTGAGAAGGGGGGGGAAAAACAGGGAAAATATGCGTACTTTCATTATGAAACACCATTTTCCACCACCATGCTAGTAGCTAATGCTACTTCCTAATGTTGCGCCCTGCGATACGCAACATCCGGGACTAGCATTCCTAGGTGGGAAATGGTGTTTCATTAAGAAAGCATATTTTCCCAGTCAGGATGAGGAACCCTGTAGTACTGTACCTTCCAGAGGGTCTCTGGTGAGACCCAGCTGGCTGATAATGTAGCGGGGGATGTCTGTCTTGATGACCTGGCCCACCTTGGCGTGGCCCTCCGCTGCCTCCAGACGGTGAAGGAACTCCTCCGGGTCAAACTCCTATTGGGGTGAAAAGCCAATAGGAATATTGGTTATTATTATAATTGACATTACATAGATAGGTATATGTATACCAGGGTTATTACAGTGTTATAACCCTGTAACAAGATATCAAGTATATTCAGTGGTGGAGTACTTAACACTACCTCAGTGTACTTAACCTATGAAAAATAATTAACGACATCATAGAGGCTGGGCAAAAGGCATCATGGCCATACTGTATCATATTAGTTGTGTTGGTTGGCAATTGCTTTAGGGAGCACAACTTCCTGAAAAGGAGAAGAGGAAAATAAATAATGAGTGTGTGAATCCTACCAGACATTCCAGTAACCTGGCTGGCCTGGAGATGAGTGTGTGAATCCTACCAGACATTCCAGTAACCTGGCTGGCCTGGAGATGAGTGTGTGATCCTACCAGACATTCCAGTAACCTGGCTGGCCTGGAGATGAGTGTGTGAATCCTACCAGACATTCCAGTAACCTGGCTGGCCTGGAGATGAGTGTGTGAATCCTACCAGACATTCCAGTAACCTGGCTGGCCTGGAGATGAGTGTGTGAATCCTACCAGACATTCCAGTAACCTGGCTGGCCTGGAGATGAGTGTGTGAATCCTACCAGACATTCCAGTAACCTGGCTGGCCTGGAGATGAGTGTGTGAATCCTACCAGACATTCCAGTAACCTGGCTGGCCTGGAGATGAGTGTGTGAATCCTACCAGACATTCCAGTAACCAGGCTGGCCTGGAGATGAGTGTGTGAATCCTACCAGACATTCCAGTAACCAGGCTGGCCTGGAGATGAGTGTGTGAATCCTACCAGACATTCCAGTAACCTGGCTGGCCTGGAGATGAGTGTGTGAATCCTACCAGACATTCCAGTAACCTGGCTGGCCTGGAGATGAGTGTGTGAATCCTACCAGACATTCCGTAACCTGGCTGGCCTGGAGATGAGTGTGTGAATCCTACCAGACATTCCATTCCAGTAACCTGGCTGGCCTGGAGATGAGTGTGTGAATCCTACCAGACATTCCAGTAACCTGGCTGGCCTGGAGATGACGATGAGAATCTTCTTCACCAGCTTGATGATGACGGTCACCTCCTCGCTCTCGGACCTCTCGTACGCCTGATGACCAAGACAAAAACAATACAGATAGATAGAGACACGTTATATGCCTGATATATGCCATAGTTAATCATGACAGGGCGGTGATTGGTATGAAACATTGGCTTCAAAACATTCCCTTGTGATACATTGGCTCTTCCACAACACAATAATGAGTGACTGTTGTCACTTATGCAAAGATTAGGGTCAAAGAGAGTTATTTGAATGGCTTCTCATTAGTAATCTGTTAGTACTTGGTTTGTCTATAATGGAGCCTTATACTGCTGCAATCGTGTAAGCGTAACTTACAAAATGTTACTTAAAATATCCATTGCAATTATATTGCAGCATTTTTAAGCCTGAGTATCCAGGCGTGAGAATTAACTTTTTGAAAAGTCCAATTTACAATGTTCTACTAACTCAATGCTTTGACAAAGTGATTGTGATAGGGGATCAGGGAGTAGTGAGGATCCTGCGAGGGCACAACAAAGTGTACGTACAATGACAAGGTTGCATAATACTGTAATTCTGTCTTGGCTGTGGTCCTTTTTTAGGAAAGAGCACATCTTCGGACAAAAACTGACCCGTTATAAGAGGACTCAATGTTCTTAAAAACTCTGAGATGCGTCCTATATTTGAAAAAACGAATGACCATACTTTCCTAGTTTACATTAACTACAGGGAAAAACTCTGCCAAAAAGCTCTAACAAAGCAGAACATGAAGGCAAGCCATTTTATGGAGAGCAATGGTCAAGCATTGGTCCTATGGAAAGTTACGCAATAAGCCCTAGTTATGCAATCACAAGCAAGACTGGAGAGATCCATTTAATGTAAAATGGCAATTGCACCGGCGCCGACTAATAGTCTAGATTAGAATCCTAGCACTGTGAGAACCTATCAAACGTCCAAGTCCAATACAGTACAAAAATACAACACTGAGGACATTCAAGGCTTTCGAAAGTGCGATCAATGCAAAACATTTATCTAAAAAAAAGAAGACAAATACTGCAGGAAACAATGCAGAAAACATTTGGTTTGAAGTGATGTTTATTTTGTGTCTCACGTGTCATGTGACGTGAGCCAGTGAACCTTGGCTAATAAAGCATTCACAAATGGGAGGGTGGGATACCAGTGACATCTCAGTAACCTGTTAGTGTAAATACATCAAAAGCAGTAGTGATTTAGCAAGATGCAGTATCTTGGGGAAAAAACTTAAACCACTAAATCTGACTCAGTCGGGGGGCATCCTGACACGCAGCAATACTTTCCTCTACAAACCTATCACGGAGGAGGGAAAACACCCTGAATCTGACCGTGGCCAAGTCCCTCCCTGTTGCATTTTTTAATTGAACATACGTACACTTTTAGCTGACTCATTCAGTAGAGAGCTAATAGAAATATAATTACTAGAAATGGCAAAGCTCCTCAGACCACAGCAATTTGACAGTGCCTAAAAGTTCCATCCCTGAGAACACTCAAGTACATCTATTTCTATGAGAGAGCCTGCCTTGTGCATACTGTATAAACTGCATTATACTTTAGCTTACTCATCCAAGAAATGCAGCCTACCTCATGCAGTAGCTTCTCCAGGTTCTCCTGTAGCTCTATGAAGTAGCGTGAGGTGACCAGGCCCATCTGGGACTTGTCTAGGCAGTCTCTGGCCAGCTCCACTAGCTGGTGCTGGATGAAGCCCAGCACGCCGTCGGCCAGCGGCAAGTTGCTGTCTGGGGAGCAGTCGGCGAGGATGTCCAGCAGACGCCCCTCCATCTGGGCTGTGGCCTGGAAAATCACATTAAATGTTATGCATTTCACAAATACAGTGCATTCGGAAAGTATTCAGACCCCTTCCTTTTTCCTCATTTTGTTACGTTATAGCCGTATTCTAAAATGTATGATTATTTAATTTTTTCTCATCAACCTACACACAATACCTCATAATGACAAAGCGAAAACAGGTTTAGACATTTTTGCAAATGTATTACACATTTTAAACAGCAATAGCTTATTCACATAATTACTCAGACCCTTTGCTGGGACTCGAAATTGAGCTCAGGTGCATCATGTTTCCATTGATCATCCTTGAGATGTTTCTACAACTACAACCTGTGGTAAATTCAATTGATTGGACATGATTTGGAAAGGCACACACCTGTCTATATAAGGTCCCACAGATGACAGTGCATGTCAGAGCAAAAACCAAGCCATGAGGTTGAAGGAATTGTCCGTAGAGCTCAGAGACAGGATTGTGTCGAGGCACAGATCTGGGGAAAGGTACCAAAAATGTTCTGCAGCATTGAAGGTCCCCAAGAACACAGTCGCCTCCATCATTCTTAAATGGAAGAAGTTTGGAACCACCAAGACCCTTCCTAGAGCTGGCGGCCCGGCCAAACTGAGCAATCGGGGGAGAAGGACCTTGGTCAGGGAGGTGACCAAGAACCCGATGGTCTCTCTGACAGAGCTCCAGAGTTCCTTTGTGGAGATGGAAGAACCTTCCAGAAGCACAACCATCTCTGCAGCACTCCACCAATCAGGCGTTTATGGTAGAGTGGCCAGATGGAAGCCACTGCTCAGTAAAAGGCAAATGACAGCCCGCTTGGAGTTTGCCAAAGAGCACCTAAAGGACTCTCAGGCCATGAGAAACAAGATTCTCTGGTCTGATGAAACCAAGATTGAACTCTTTGGCCTGAATGCCAAGCATCACGTCTGGAGGAAATCTGGCACCATCCCTACGGTGAAGTATGGTGGTGGCAACATCACGCTGTGGGGATGTTTTTCAGCTGCAGGGACTGGGAGACTAGCCAGGATCGACGTAAAAGATGAACGGAGCGAAGTACAGAGAGATCCTTGATGAAAACCTGCTCCAGAGCGCTCAGGACCTCAGATTGGGGCGAAGGTTCACCTTCCAACAGGACAATGACCATAAGCACACAGCCAAGACAATGCAGGAGTGGCTTTGGGACATGTCCCTGAATGACCTACTGAGTAAAGAGTCTGAATACTTGTGTAAATGTGATATTTTCATTTTTTAATTTTTTTAATAAATTTCTAAGCATTTCTAAAAACCAGTTTTTGCTTTGTCATTATGGGGTATTGTGTGTAGATTGATAAGGGGAAAAAAACAATTTAATAAATTTTAGAATAAGGCTGTAACGTAACAAAATGTGGAAAAGGTCAAGGGGTCTAAACACTTTCCGAATGCACTGTACGTCACAATGCACTTCATAGACACTTAAAATAGAGAGGATTCAAATCTTACATTAGTGAAATAGGCACATGGAGAAGCAGATAAAAGTTAAAAGTAAACAAGATGAAAGTATTTTGCCAAGAAGATCAGACATGTACATGATGAATCTATTGATGTGCTAGGAAAAGCAGTGTGGCGAGTCAGGAAATAACACCTACCTTCGGAAAGCGCTCTTTGTAAACGTGGTTCATCATTACAATCTCATTGTCAAAGGTGCCACATGTCCGACCAGGGCTGTAGGAAGAGACGAAAAGACAATCTCTCCATTTCTTCATTAGAATCATCTTTGCGCTACGACTATTAGAACTTTCAAACAGAGAGTAGTAATTCAAATGTAAGCACAGAAAACATGTATCAAATGCCACTTATGACTAAGTTTAGTTCAACAGTTATGTAGTCATGACCACACTTGTTGTCTTCACTTGGGTTTGATTACATGAGTGCCCAGGAGTGTAGGGCTCAAATCAGGGCAGTCTCATCAGGATCCCCATAACCATTAAAGGTGCAATAAGCAGAAATCAATCCGCCATTTCCTGGTTGCTAACATTTGAATAGTTTGCCTAATTTCAGTTTGTGACAAAACAAGCAGTCAATGTTTAGAGAATCATTGTACCATCTAAACCGCAGTGAAATATATTTTCCATAACACCAAATATTGTATTTTCAGCTGTTTGAAGCAGGTGTACAAAACCGAAAGTAAAAGACGCAAAAACGTAACATAAGAACGGGAAACATAGAAATAGTGCCCATAGAACAGATCTACCGCTTCTTAGACTTGCTTTCAATGAGAATGACAGATATATAACTCGCATTTCTATGTGAATTTGGTCGGGTCGCCCAAAAAGTTACGTACTGCAGCTTTAAAAATATCAACATTTGTCCAGACCGCTATTTCTAGGACACCCCAAAGATCACCTGTGTAATATAACCCTTTCCCTTGTTTGAAATGAATCTGAACTGCATTACAAAATGAGCTTCATTTTGTTGCATAATGTATTAAAATAATAGCTACATTGCATAATGATTTGACCATCATAATCTCCCTTTGGCCTTTCTCTCTGGGCATCTTGGTCTTCTTAAAAAATTGTCGAAAGAGGAGACGGAAAACTGCGGCTGACACGTTTTGCTTTTCCCTGATCTAAATTAAGTAAACTTCAAACAGCTGGCTGAGTCTTGGTACTCAAACTCCAAAAACAGAGTTTAAGAAGTCGAATTTTGTTGTTAATAAAATATATGTTTACAAATGTTAGTGGGATCCTTTGTATGTACATTTGTTGTCATATTATCGTGTTTGTGAAAGACTGGTTGCTCTCATAGCACTGTCTAGTAAAAATGCTAAAGCTTATGGCCACGAAACATTTGGTGCCAACATGGAGGCCTGTTCGTTGAAATCTGTCCTGTATATCTGTGTCACTAGCAAGCACGGGCCAGTCTTAGCAGCTCTGTGCTCGCTGGCCCACACAGTACACGTCACAGGAAAGCTGACCACATTAAACCACAGCAAAACTCTCATAGACACTCCAAACGTCTGTACAGCAGCCTTCTAACCACCACTAGAACCAGATGGGCAGGAGACACGTCTGTGTTTTATTGAGGGGTGACTAACTGACTCGGAGACACCATGACGTAAAAACATAAACACTATTATGCAAACAGAGCCTGGATGGCTGGATGAAGTCAACAATCTGAGTACTCAATAGCTTTATGCAAAGTGGATGGAAAAGCCTTCACCTCTATGCACAGATAAGAATCCACACCAATGTTTGTCAAAGGAAGTACTGTGATTGAGATAAAGCCATTCTAAGTAAGAAGCAAGTTACTGTACTTCATAAAAAACTAGTCACAATGCAATTTTAGCAAAGTTAAATTTTCCCAGTGAAAAAACGTCTTGTCCGAACATTAGGAAAAATGTGTTGACCTCATTCCAAAATGAATAGGAATGCTTGATATGTGATTACTTTCGAGGTGTGAAAACATCTGACAAATGTTTTATTTTGGGGTGAACTGTTCCTTTAAGTGTGTTGGTGATCTTATTGGTGTGTGTGCTTACCTGAGACTGCGGGAGCGGAGCCTCACAGGGGGTGAGGGCTGCCCCTCCTCGTCCGCTACACTCTCCGTGCTCCGGAAGTGTTTAAACAGGAAATGAAGCTCATCTGCCGTGGGCTGGAAGGGCAGCTGGTGCAAGAGCTCCTGGGAGGAGGAGGAGGACTGGGGGAGAGAGAGAGAGAGAGAGAGAGAGGATGGGGAGAGGGCAGTTGAGAGGGCGGGGAGAGAGAGAGAGAGACGGTGAGATTTTCGGGAGCGAGGGGATTTTTTCGTAATCTCTCTTCTTTTTCTTTTTCTCTCTCTCTCTCGCTTTTTTTTTCTCTCTGTCTCTCTCTCTTCTTTTTTTTTTCTCTTCTCTCCTCTCCTTTTCTTTCTCTCTTCTCTTCTCTTTTTTCTCTCTCTCTCTCTCTTTTTTTTTTTCTCTTCTCTCTCTTTTTTTTTCTCTCTCTCTCTTTCTTTTGTTTTTTCCTTCTCTCTCTCTCTCTTCTCTCTCTTTTTTGCTCTCTCTCTCTCTCTCTTTTGTTTTTTTTCTTCTCTCCTCTCTTTTCTCTCTCTCTCTCTCGCTCTTTTCTCGCTCTCTCTTTCTCTCTCTCTTTCTCTCTTTTTTTTCTTTTGCTCTCTCTCGCTCTCTCTCTCTCTCTCTCTCTTGTTGCTTGTCTTGTGCTCTCTCTCTCCTCTCTTTTTGTTTTTTTCTCTCTCTCTCTTCCTTTCCCGCTCTCTGTGCCTTCTCTCTCGCCCCTCTCTCTCTTTTTTCTTTTGCCTCTCTCCTCTCTCCTTCCTTTCCCTCCTCTCCTCTTCTTTCGCTCGCTCCCCCTTTGCCTCGCTCGTTCTTCTCGTTCTTTGGTTGTTTTTTTCCCTTTTCTTTTTTCTCTTCTTCTTTTTTTCTTTTTTTGTTTTTCTTTTCTCTTTGTTCTTTTGGCTTTTTTTTTTTTTTTTCTTTTCCTTTCTCCCTCTTCTCGGCTTTGTTTTCTTTTTCCTCCTTTTTCTCTCTCTTTTTTTCTCTCTCGTCTCTTTTCTCTCTCTTTCCTTCCTTTTTTTTTTTCTCTCCACCTTTTTTTTCTCTCGTCTTCTCTTCTCCTCTCTCGCTCTCTTCTCTCTTTTTTCTTCTTTTTTTCCTTTTTTTTCTCTTTGCGGCTTTTCTTTGCGGTCTCGTCTTTTTGGTCTGCTCCTCGTCTCTCGCTCCTCTTTTTTTTGCTTGTTTCGCTCTCGTCCTCGCGCGGTTATCGCTCTGCGTTGCTTCTCTTTCTCTCTCTCTCTTCTTTTTTGTGTCTCCTCTCTCTCTCTTCTCTTTTTTCCTCTCGCTCTCTCGCTCGCTCTCCTCTCTTTTCTGTTGTTTTGTTGTTTTTGTTGGCTTTTTGTTGGTTGCTCTTCCTCCTCTTCTCTCTCTCTCTCTCTCCTCACTATCTCAGCGAGAGTGTGTGTGTTAATTGGATTTCGTTGGGATGTCCCAAGAGCACAACATCCTACATCCAGTTGG